CCAGTCATTCTCGTGCTACTCTTTCCACAAGCAATGCACAATGTCCAAAACACACTTGTGAGAAAAAGCCTGTCGAAGTTTCCGACAGGCTTTTTTCAATTAACTTTTTTGTTTCTCGTTGGATATTGTTGAAAATTGGCACAGACACTAAGAATAACCTCACAGTGCTTCCATAAAAATTTTGAAGCGATACCGCAAATACTTTACAAGAAACAAATTATTTCTTCATTGAACCATGTGGAGGAGCTGAGCATAACTCAAAAAAAAAAAAAAACAGTATTGAGAAAGCTGCGTTGAAAGTTTCAACTTTTTTTTACGTTTCTAAGACACCTAAAAATTGTGATCTCAGGTTTGTCTTGTGATATTTGACTTCTTTTCATGATTTACTCCTTTTCATGATTTACAAAGAACAAGTATGGATTTCAAACCTAGTTGTTTGTATGAAGGAGTGGTGTGATAGGTATGACAGAAAAGGTTGTAATTGAATAAAACCATATACTGAAATTATTACATACTTTTTTTTGTGCTGAAGTTGTAATTAGTGTAATTAAGTACTTGATTACAAATATTCACTGAACTTTTTTTTTATTTGGAGAGAGGTTTATTGCATCAGAAAAATAGATCACACCATGACGGCCTATGCCTTCTTTCTAAATAACAACAAAGTTATGGGCAGAAGACTGGTGGCACGGGAATTTCTAGCAGTATACTTAATGACACGAAACGGGCATATAAAAATTCGTGCCCCTGATTCACACATGCTCTTTCGCCGCTCTAGCCGTGAAACGCATCATCATTCAGCCGGTCGCAGAAACTCTAATCTACAGCACCTACATTAACCTCGGAACATTCATAGACCTTCGTGGCGATATCAAGCACGGCTCCAAGCACGTCTGAATCGCATCACAAAAGCTTATTGACAGCTCTCCATATATGACCGTGGGGTGCGCGGCCGCGTGGAAAATGCAGCCGGCGCGTAATGCACTTGCCGGCGGCGTTCGATGACGATGCGAGAAATGTGTAACTACGAAACGAAAAATCGGCACTCACTAAACTTGGCATCGCATTTTCGAATGACGACGCGCGAAACTGCTAGCCGCTGTTCCGAGCGATCCTTGGCAGTGAAGGGAGGGGGGGTGACGAGCTTGACTGTGTTGTCCGCTGCCGATGCGTAACATGCCCATGCGTGATTCAGAGGAGCTAGCGAGTGATGTGGTACATTCCTTGCGAAAAAGCACGTCGCCAAGAGTGCGCTTGCGCATCGTTCCTGCCCGCAGTCTCGCTGTCAGCGGAGTTAGGGCTAAAGACGACTCCGATGACGCACGGTGCTCGTAGACCGTGCTCCCGCTCGTAGTAACCTAATCGCGCATCCGCAGGCGAGCTGAGGCAATATGGCGGCCACGGCCAATCAAGGGCCTCAAAACGACCTTCAAACATTTGCTTTTTGCTCGCTTGTTGTTAAAGGGAGGAGCCATCTGAGGCGGGAAAGTTAAACACGGAGAAATGCTCTTTCCAATGAGCTCAAGAAGCCGGCTCCCGGCCCAAGCATCGCGAAGCTATAATTTTTTGGAAATCGCCGTTTTCTCGCCATTTCCAGAAAAAGCTTTGCTACCTAGGTGGGTGAAACTTCTGCGCGGTTTTCAGTGTAGATATTTTGTAACCAGATATTGAAAGGGTTCCAGAAACTGAAAATTTGAGTTTCAAAAAATCAATTTTTTTGCCATTTTTCGCGATCTCAAAGCCGCGTCCCCCCTTAAGATGGTGTTAGCATTCTTCCAAGGCTCTGGTATTTTTCCCGTCAGGAGACACCTCGTAAACAGGGTGGCTAGTTTTTCTAGCACAATCTGTCCTCCATCTGTCAGCAGATCTGATGTTACCTGTTCCTCATTAGCAGCTTTGCCTCTTTGCATGCTCTCCAAAGCTTTTCTGACTTCTTCTATCATTACTGGTGGGGGCGTCATCTGGGTTACTGATAGTTCTTATTGTATTAAGGTCGTGGTTGTCCCAGTTACTGTACAGATCTCTGTAAAACTCCTCTGCTATTTCAATTATCCTATCTTTATTGGTAGTTATTTTGCCTTCTTTGTCCCTTGGTGCATACATCCGATTTTGGCCTATCCAAGTTACCTCTTCACTGCTTTGTTGCTTCCTCCGTTTTTCAGGGCGTGTTCAATTTTCTTTGTGTTGTTCTTTTGTTTTGTTGTTCTGAGGTGATTCCAAGATTTATTTCTTGTTTTTTATCGGGATACCTTGTTACATCGGATACCTTACGCCTATTAATCAACTTCGAAAGCTCTGCCAGTTCTATTTTGTCTGTTGTACTTCACACTTTCATGATTTGACGCTTTTTAATCAGATTCTTCGTTTCCTCAGAAAGCTTGCCAGTGTCCTGCCTAACTACTCTGCCTCCAACTTCCACTGCACACTCCGTAATGATACTCGTCAGATTATCATTCATTGTATCTACGCTAAGGTTGGTTTCCTCACTAAGAGCCGAGTACCTGTTCTGAAGCGAGACTCTGAATTCCTGTACTTCCCTCTCAATGCTAGCTCATTGATTGGCTTCTTGCGTATCAGTTTCTGTCGTTCCTTCTTCAAGTCTAGGTTAATTCGAGACCGTACCATTCTATGGTCACTGCATCGTACCTTGCCAATCACTTCCACATCCTGCACGGTGCCTGGGTGGGCACTCATTATAAAATCTATTTCGTTCTTATTTTTGCCATTAGGGCTCCTCCATGCCCAGCTACGGTTTTCTCGTGTTCGGTAGAAGGTATTCAAAATCCGTAAATTATTGCGTTATGCGAATTCTACTAGTAGCCCTTCTCTGGCGTTTCTAGTACCGATGCTATAATCTCTTACTGCCTGGTCTCCAGCCTGGTTCTTCCCTACTTTTGCATTAAAGTTTCCCATCAGTATAGTATACTGTGTTTTTACCTTACTCATTCCCGATTCCACGTCTTCATAGAAGCTTTCAACTGAAGCGTCATCATGGCTGGATGTAGGTGCGTAGGCCTGTACCACTTTCATCTTGTATCTCTTATTCAGTTCAATAACGATACCTACCACCCTTTCATAAATGCTATAGTATTCCTCTATGTTGCCAGCTATGTTTCTGTGGATAAGGAATCCCACTCCCAGCTCCTTTTGTCAGCCGTGCCCCCGATAGCACAGGACGTGCCCATCCTGTAGCAGTGTATAGGCCTCGTTTGTCTTCCTAACCTCACTGAGCCCTATTATACCCTATTTAACACCCTCTAGCTTTTTGAATAGTGGAGCTAGACTTCCCTCACTTCATAAGGTTCTAGCGTTAAATGTTGCTAAGTTCAGGTTTCAATGGCGGCCTGTCCGGATCCAGAGATTCTTAGCACCCTCTGCTGCGTTGCAGATCTGATTGCCGCTGTGGTCAGTTGCTTCGCAGCTGCTGGGGACTGAGGGCCGTGAGTTATTTGACGTATGCATGTGAGAGGTAGTGGCCAAATACTGCACCAGGGTGGCCAATCCTTCTCTGGTGAGGGAGTGCGTTACTGGCGGTAATTGCCGGTGAGGCCGCACCCCAGGCCTCTTAATGCAGTTCCATCACCACGCGGATTCTTTTTTTTTTATCCTGTTGGGAACTGCGTGGCACCGGGATTCGAACCACAGACCTTTTGCATACGAGGCAGATGCTCTAACCACTACGCCATCGCCGCGACCTCGGAAGAGAGCAGCGCTTCAAGATAGGTAATGGTGCACTTCAAGTTGTAAAAGAGTATGTCTACTTAGGGCAGGTAACAACAGTGGAGCCGAACCACAAGATTGAAGTAACTAGAATAAGAATGGGGTGGAGCATATTTGGCAAGCACTCGAATTATGACAGGTAGAGTGCCACTATCCCTCAAAAGGAAGGTATATAACAGCTCTATCTTGCCGGTACTTAGCTACGGAGCAGAAACCTGGAGACTTACAAAGAGGGTTCTGTTTAAATTGAGGATGTCGCAGCGAGCAATGGAAAGAAAATGGTAGGTGTAACCTTAAGAGACAAGAAGAGAGCAGAGTGGATTAGGGAACAAACAGGGGTTAAGGATATCATAGTTGAAATCAAGAAGAGGAAATAGACATGGGCCGGGCGTGTAGCGCGTAGACAGGATTACCGCTGGTCATTTAGGGTAACTGACTGGATTCCCAAAGAAGGCAAGCGGGTTAGGGGGAGACAGAAGGTTAGGTGGGCAGATGAAATTAAGAAATTTGCGGGTATAAATTGGCAGCAGCAAGCACAGGACCGAGTTAACTGGCGGAACATGGTAGAGGCCTTTGTCCTGCAGTGGACGTAGTCAGGCTGATGATGATGATGATGATCCACTTTGAAATATCTGGCATCATGGCCATGTACATCGCTACTAGGCTTACTGCCTGAAGTCATATGCCTAACTACCGCTTATGGTGCCAATGTACGAGACGAATCCAAAATTCGCGGGCAATAGCATCACGCTAACGGACATGCAAAAGCGATAAAGCTGCTATGTGCTTCGTTAAGCAATTGCTGGCTGGTTCATTGGGTATTATACGCATTGGCAGCATACCCCTCTGGCAAGCTTGTTGTGTGGTCGCCATTGGGAGCACTGGTGGAAGTGGCCAGCAGTTTCGCGCGTGCACGCCCCACAACACACCGCAAAGCCTGCTGCATGCCCATTTTTCATTGTTGATTCATTATATTTATTTTCGAGCGTTCGACTTCTTCACATAGTAATATTCTGGTGCGAATCGAGTAGCAAGGCTTACCTGAAAAACATTTGAAACTTCAAATATTCACACACCCATATTTTTTTCTGCTGTCCTTCATTTTTTCATTGCCTTCTGTGCGTTATGCTTGCTGAACATCTGTGCTCTCGAAATTACCACTTACGCACTCTTTTGTGATGCCGGCTTATTATTGACTACCAAGCTGAGGCAATGCACCGTGTGATGCTCATATTGGCCCACTTGCGTTGAAAGCGTTGCCTCATGTGTTTGTGCCGCAGGCCTCCCTGAACGCTATGGTGGGCACAGACGAGCTGTCACAAGCCAAACTCAACGTTCTCACGCACTTGCTCTCCAAGCCGATGAAGGTGAGTGAAGATTTTGCACAAAGCTGACAGCCTTTTAGCGTCTAGCTATGGCGGTCAGGAACATTGATTGATTTGATGATTTGATTTGTGGGGTTTAACGTCCCAAAACTACCATTTGATTATGAGAGATGCCGTAGTGGAGGGCTCCGGAAATTTCGACCACCTGGGGTTCTTTAACAAGCACCCAAATCTGAGCACACGGGCCTACAACATTTCCGCCTCCATCAGAAATCAGGGTGTCTACCAACCTGGAAAACCTGGAAAACCTGGAAAAGTCAGGGAATTTGAACACGCCTGGAAAAGTCAGGGAAAAGTCAGGGAATTTCTGAAAAATCCGGCCAGGTCATGGAAACTGACTGTAGTCTTTCAGATCGTCACGAAAATATTCATTAGCATTAATCAAAGCTTTAAAAATCGCTCCTTAAACCACACAGAACAGCTAAGCAGAAGCATAGTTAAAAAAAAGCAGTGAATAGCTGGCGCTTCTACTTTCCGAGTACAACGTTACTCACGCGCATAAAATTGTGCATGTTTGTCTTGGCCGCGATCTTGGCTCGGCTTGAGGGTTTTCTGGTTAGGCTGGAAGTGCCATCAGCAGAGGGCAAGGTGCACAGAATATGCGAGTCGTAATTATTTTTTTAATGAAATGTGTAGTTTACAGGTGCGTAAATTGGACTGGGATACAAAAACAGTAGTAGAGCAAATATGGTAATCCAGATCGGATCCAATCCAATCCAATCCACATATCAAGATGCCTGGGCTGCAGCCATATTGCCATTCTTCTTGTGATGCCGTGAGCATGCAGTGAGTTGCTATGCCTCTTGCGAAGAAGTGTTCGTTTAACCCTGATTGGGTGAACGCGGAAATATCCGAGCACGCCTCATGGATTAGAGCAGTGCCGAACGATACAAGTAAGGCTCACTGTGCAGCATGCCAGAAGACTTTCTCGCTTAGCAATATGGGCATCGCTGCTGTCTCCAGTCACGCTGTGAGCAAGTAACACCTAACTGCTGTGAGCATTGTGCAAAGTGCTTCCCAGACAAACATCCGCGCGTTTTTCGGTGCTGGACCCAACTTGCCGTGTTCCATTCCATGACTGCTACGACTACGAGTGAATGTGTATCGACTGTGCCAAGCACGAGTGCTGAAAGCGTGCCTGCTAAACCGGTGGCCGTCGCGCCTGACGGGAAGGCATCCTTAAATGGGTTTCTGGTCAAAAAATGTGTCACGAAAGCAGAAGTTGTTTGGTGTCTGAACACTATAGCGACCCATGGATCGTTTCGTTCAGCAGCAGCGTCAGCGGCGCTTTTTCCCCATCATGTTCCCCACGTGCGACGTCGCGAAGAAGTTGCAACTTGGTAAGGACAAAGTTGGCTATACAATTTGTTACGGTATAGCCCCGTACTTCCGAAACAGGCTGCTATCAAAGCTGCATAGTGTCCCACACGTGGTCGTGGCTTTTGACGAGTCCCTGAACAAAATTGCTCAGAAAGAGCAAATGGACGTTTTGATCAGGTTTTGGGACCCAGCTGACGACGTTGTCAAAACCCGCTACCTGACGTCCTGTTTTTTAGGACACACTCGCGCAGAAGATTTAGCTGCCGCTTTCAAAAAGGCCACTGAGAACATTGAGCCGGCAAAAATACTTCAACTTTCGATGGATGGTCCAAACGTCAATTTGAAGTTGTTGAAGTCGTTGAAGCAAGAGTTTTCTGCGTCTGATGGAAATCAGAATATTGTGGACATTGGAAGCTGCGGACTGCACGGTGTGAGTGGTGCATTTAAAACAGGCCACAATGTGACAAAGTGGAACACAGTAGTGTTTCTTAGAAGCTTGTACAATTTGTTCAAAAACGTCCCTGCACGCCGAGCCGACTATGTCAATTTCACAGGGAGCATATTGTTTCCGCTAAAGTTTTGCTCAATGCGCTGGCTGGAAAATGGCAAGGCTCTTGCTAGGGCACTGCAAGTCCTCCCAAATGTGGTCAAATATGTTGAGCATGTCAAGAAAGAAAAGAAACTTCCAGCTTGTGGCAGCTATGCTCATGTCGAGACGGCTGTGAAAGACGAGATGCTGCCAGTAAAGCTGGCCTTTATGCTTTCAGTTTCAGAAGAATTGGAGCCTTTTTTGGCTGAGTTTCAGACAGAAAACCGATGCTACCTTTTCTTGCAACAGCACTGGACGGCCTGTTGCGGTCACTGCTGGGACGAATCGTGCTAAAGGAAAAGCTGGATGCTGCAGGCACATTTTCAAAACTGATAAAAATTGATCTGGAGAACCCAAACAACATCATTGGTATAGCTGCCTTTGACATAGGCCTTGCCGCCAAAAGTGAGTTGCGAAAGATCACTAAACCATCTCACACTGCGGTGGTAAGTGTCAAAAAAGAATGCATCTTATTTATTAAGGCCTGTTCAGCAAAGATAATCGAAAGATCACCTCTGAAATACAAGCTGACAAGGGGGGCCAGTTGCTTAAACTCAGCAGTTTGTGCCGCTTCTGTGGAAGCTGGCCAGAAGCAGCTAAACATTGCACTTGAAGTACTTATAGAGCATGGGCGCCTTACAGGCCTACAAGGAGAGAGAGCAAGTAGATCATATGTACAAGTGTGCTCGAACAGCACTGCACAAGTGCGTTTGCGAAAATTTGATCGTGCAAGAGAGCGCTTGGAGAAGCTGTGGGTGGAACTCTGTGCAAGTTCTCATGAAGAGCTACTGCTGTTTGTGAAGATTGTGCTGTGCCTTTCACATGGAAATTCTTCCGTGGAGCGGGGATTTTCAGTGAACAAGGAATGTCTTGTGGAAAATATGAAGGAGGAGTTACTTGTAGCACAAAGGTTAGTGTACGATGAGGTGTCTGCAGCAGGTGGTGTTGCAGAAGTTGACGTAACAGACAAGATGATAGACATGGTTCGAAGTTCCAACATCAAATGGAAGAAAGACCTGGAGAGGAAAAAGAAGGAACGGTTGGACGTATTGGATGCTGAAAGGAAAAAGAAGAGGACTGCGGCTCTTGTGAAAGAGCTTGAATCAAAGAAGCAAAAACTGATGGAAGACGCACAGCTTCAGGTCTCCATGCTGCAGCAAGAGATTGAATCCTTGAAACAGTGAAGGCATTGCCGATGCAAGTAAACAAGCTTTTCTGTTTGTCGAGGGACAATTATTGTGTCTTTGAATATTTTATTTATTGTAAAAAATGCTTTCAGACAAGGGAATGCAATAAAGCAGCATGGTTTCCATTTTATATGAGCGCCTCATAATTTCTTTTTACCGCTCAGGAGTTTGTTTTCCAGTGCGCAGTTTCTTCCAAGCAGACGTACCGGTCATGGAATTTGCTTGAAATGGTCATGGAAAACCTGGAAAAGTCAGGGAATTTGGAAAAATGTAATTAGTAGACACCCTGGAAATGCAGCCGCCGCAGCCGGGATTTGAACCCGCGACTTGCGGGTCAGCAGCCGAGTACCTTAGCCGCTAGACCACCACGACGGGGCGGCAGTCAGGAACATTAGTATTCAAACTTGTGTGAATTGCCCTTCTGCAGGGATAGGTATTATGCACCTGACACTTTTCTATGGAAAATTTCATGTATTTTTGATAAGGAGAGCTTTAGGTCTGAGGGTTGTGGGAAGGTATTATTTGAAGATTACAGGACTTACCATTTGTCACCGTGTTGTTAACTAATTCACTTAAAAAAGAGTATCGGCATAAGTTGCAAGAATTGACGTGCGGTCAAGTACAGCAGTTAAAAGATGAACTATGGGAGCTTTGAGGTATATAGAAGTCAGCTGGGGGCAAAATGGTAGTAACTGTAAATAGAAGGGGGAAGTTTTAGGGCACCATTGGACATAAGTGATGTTGAAGTGTGTGTTTGCCCTCATTCATCCTGCGACATCTATCTGGGCTCAAGGTTTTATATAAAGATGATATTACTTGGAAGCATGGCAGATTGGCATACTCTTTCTTTTAGTGCAAAGAATAAACAGGAAAGACAAGGATCACCAAAGATAAGCAGCATTGGGCTCAGTCCATACTTGGGAAGGAGAGCCATGGCAGTGCCCAAGTGTGGTGGCTAGGTGCTCAGCCAAAGTAGCTGAAATGCCCAGCTCTGTGCTCCATTATATCCAACCCTTGTTTGTTGGAATACAAAATGTCCCATTGATTGCATCTACGCATGCTCTTCTGGTGACCGCAGATGGCCGTCTACTTCTGTGCGGGGCGTCGAGAGGATCCCTTGTCGTTTTCCCACTATGCTCTCAACGTGCCTCTCTACACGCACTTCACATCACCCATCCGGCGCTATGCCGACATTGTGGTGCATCGGCAGCTGGCAGCTGCCCTTGGTGAGTGGCTGCTGCCCAGTGCGTAGCCTTTTAAGCTTACTATAGTTTAACCAATGTTTTGGCTGTTTGAGGAATCCATAAACCCCTGCAAACAGGAAACCGTAAAACGTCAAATGCATGTACCCGGTTTGGTGAAACAGTTTCTGCCAAGTTTTTGCGGTCTCTTTAAAGGCACTGAATTTTCAGACATGTGCGAAAGCAAAAGCAGAAAACAAAAGCAGATCCAGTAAAAAGCTCGTAAATTCAACACCCATTAATTTAGGAAAAATTAATGGTTCAGGTGACGTCTTGATATGCTCTACGATGAGTTTTGTATGACAGGACACAAACAACTACCTGGGAAATATGCCCAGACCTCGTCTTTGCCAATTTCACGCTATATCTAGCTATATCTGATACGACAAAGCAGTAATAATGAAGGCAAAATGAAATTCACATTCAACACCACATTGCATTTATAACCAATAAGCATTGTATATAACTACACACTGCTTGGCACTCATTTATATGCGTCCCCGCAGGGGCGCCTGCGCAAGTAGGCGTTTGGTGTGTTGCGACACCACGAACCCGAGCTAACAGGGAAGTTTTGACTCCCTCCCACGCCTAGCCGTGCGTGGCTTTGCCGTGTCCGGGGAAAAGGGGATCCTGGGGGTTGAGCCGACGCTGGGTGATTGGACCTTTAAGGCCCCCCGGCAGAGGCAACACACCCCTTTGGCCCCGGCTTCACGTAGACGGCACCTCTGGGCTGACCCACCCAGGGGAAATCGGCAGTCGCCTTTTCCTATCTCTCTCTCCCTATATCTTCGTCTTTTGTTCTCACTTTACATCTTTCCTGTCTTCTCCTTACTTCATTTTACTTTCAATTTTTCCTGGTGGCAAGGGTTAACCTTGTGTGGCTATCCAAACTAGGGTAAACCATATTGGGTTATAGTAACTGCGTACTGCTGGCGTTGCGCAGACATGCCCATATGCTCTGCCACGTCCCCTCGTTGGACTCCGTGGTGGGTGGGAGGCGCCGTTACCGAAAAATACACATTTTCTCATGGGATCCCCGACCCCCTCTTTAACTGATCGTGCTTCGAAAAGGGTACGCACCGACGCAACTTTCCTACTTTGGCCCAAAAACAGAGAAACTTTCCCAAAATACCATGTCCTCCACTGCGAACAATCATCTACAAAAGCTAGAGCAATCTCACCCTTCCTTGTGGCCAAGTGCTTGAGAGAGACCATTGGAACCGGTTATAAGGCCACGAAGATGGCAAGTGGAGATCTGCTTCTCGAATTAAAAGACAAGGAACAGTACAACAAACTCTCGCACCTCGTAGCCTTTGGCAACATCCCCGTCTCTGTGAGCGCACACCGTACCATGAATACAGTGAAGGGCGTGGTATCGGACGAAGATTTGATGACACTGAGTGAAGAAGAGCTCTTTGATGGATGGAAGGATCAAGGTGTAATACATGTCCAGCGCATCAAAATCAGACGTAACAACAATGAAATATCAACAAAGCACTTGATACTCACCTTCAACTCAACCACTTTACCCGAGACTCTCGAAACTGGCTATGTAAAACTCCATGTCCGACCCTTCATTCCAAACCCGAGGCGCTGTTTCAAATGCCAGCGATTTGGTCATGCATCCCAGAGCTGCCGAGGACAGCTGATGTGTGCTAAGTGTGGCACAACCGGCCACAGTGCTGATGAATGCAGTCACGACGAGGTCCTCTGTGCTAACTGCGAAGGTAGTCACCCCGCATACTCCAGAGCGTGCCCAGCCTGGAAAAGAGAAAAAGAAATAATAACTATAAAAGTTAAGGAAAATATCACATTCAGGGAAGCAAGACAACAGGTCTAGTTATCATTAGCACTAAAAACACCTTTTGCTGAAGTGGTGCAACGAAGGGCGGCACCACAAAGGCCCTTGGCAGTTGCCCGGACCGCGCCTAGCGTGCCGAGGCCAATGCCACAAGCCCCTGCGGCGGGAGCAGCCAGCGCTGCCCTGCCCACATTCAGCCTGTCCACACCAGTGACCTCTACAAGCTTTGGCAGCAGCCATGGCAATCATGAGGCCAAGGGGGCTTCATCAACCCCCAGCTCGGTGGGGACAAAGACTTCGTCGATCGAGGCGAAGTCTAAGCGACGCATAGATCGCTCTTTAGAGCGGGTGTCCAGTGCCTCGCAAGAGGCTATGGACACCAGTTCAAGCCAAACGGCGCAGGAAGCGCCGAAAGAGCGGCGAGCTTCGCTCGACCGCCCCAAAGAGGACAGAACGCCGATTACAGGGCCCGACAAAGGCCCTGTAAAATGAGTTAATCACCGTCTTCTTTGCACACAGCACTTTTTTCCTTTTTTTTTTTTCCACAGTGGACAAAATCATACAGTGGAACGTAAGGGGAATACTTAGAAATTTAGATGACGTCCAAGAACTTCTGTGTAAGTTTAACACGAAAGTGCTATGTGTGCAAGAAACGCACTTAACTCCTAAGCACAAGGACTTCCTACGACAATATATTATTTTCCGAAAAGACCGGGATGATCCTGTCGTGCCATCCGGCGGTGTAGCCATTATAGTCGATCGTAGTATAGCATGCCAGCATTTGAAGCTCCAAACGGCCCTTGAGGCAGTGGCCATTCGAGCTGTACTTTTTAATAAACTCATTACCATATGTTCTGTGTACATACCACCGCATCAACAGCTACACAGACGTGATCTGGAATCATTAATAGATGAACTCCCAGAGCCGTTTCTGATTCTAGGTGATTTTAATGCACACAATGTCCTGTGGGGCGATGCTCACTGTGATGCGCGAGGACGTCTCATTGAACAGCTCCTTTTCTCTTCTAGTTTATGTCTTTTAAATACAAAGGAGCCTACGTATTTTAGCCTTGCAAACAACACGTACTCCTCCATAGATCTTAGCATTTCATCACCGTCCCTTTTACCTGTTTTTAAGTGGAACGTTCTTAAGGGGGGATGCGGCCCTTGAAAACCGAAAAATCGCGAAAAAGTCGGTTTTTGAAAAACCACATTTTTGGGTTGTATGTCTCATAAACTACCTATTCTGTAATTATCAGCACCTAATTCAACCGCAAAGTGCAAAAAAAAATACTATTTTCGAGGCCGCCGCGGCGTCCAAAACAGGCGCAAATCTCGAAATCAAACCAAACTTCGCGCGCGTGCCATTCCCGGACCATGCGGTCGTCCCGCGCCATCTTGGTGTTGTTTTGACCGTGAATTCTTTCTCTCTCGTTCGCCGCCTTGCAAAATGGCGTCGGCAGCACAGTTGAGACGCTATTGGCGTTTTCCCGCGATGCGATGCAGAGCGCTGATTGGCTAGAGCAGCGCATTCATATCTCGCGGGAGAAAGCGTGCCCGCCATTGGCTGCTGTGCAGCAGCGGGGGCGGTCGCTCCTCTCGATGGCGCGTCCAGCGCGCTCGCTTCGTTGTTGCTCTCTGCTCCGTCCGCCTCAACAGACGTCTGCTTACGAGCCGCTCTTCGCCTTGTGCTATCTTTTCGATCATTTTCTCTCGTTTTTTTTTTTTTGCACTAGTTCTGTGCCTTTCGTCTTTGTTGTTGCGGGCGATGCCGGCAACGAAGCCAAAGTCAGTGCGGAAGTCCGTTGCACGGAGGCGCGCTATGCGGCTTGTACGATCATCGAAATTCCGCTATTCTGCTGCGGGTGCCGACTGCGTAGACGCTTGCAGCGATGGAACTGTGTTGTCGGCTGTCGCCAGTCGAGAATCCGACACATCGAGTGTGGCTGGAGCCGCAAATGCACCGAGTGTTTCCGAGATCGCTGGGCTCGACACGTGCTCCGAATCGATGCCATCCAGTGTGACACCGAGTGCTTCTGATATCGCCGGACCCAGCACTTCGTCTGAATCGGTGCCATCGAGCGTGACACCGAGTGCTTCTGATATCGCCGGACCCAGCACTTCGTCTGAATCGGTGCCGCCATCGAGCGTGAGTGGACCGTCGCTTCATCTGTGGACGCGTTTCCTAACGAAGGAAGAAATCGATGCGAATGCGAAACGTCGTGACGCCGTTCGCGCTGAACTCGAGTCTACGCCGGCGACGCAGAAGAAATTTCAACTGATGCAGCCGGCTCTTGCACCTGCAGTGACAAGTGAGGGCGAACATTTTTCGCTCGTTCAAATGAACATCTTTAACGTCGTGCTCAGCCGCACAGTGTGCAAAGAATGTTTGAAAGGTGCTATGACTGTCCGAGAGAGCACCAAGCTTGGACTTGCAACAAAACTTGAAGTCGTGTGCGCCTCTTGTGGCACCGTCGATAAATTATGGACATCACCCCGCAAAAAGGACACGCAGGCCTTCGATGTAAATGTCCGCGCCATAATGGCTATAAAGCAAATAGGCAAGGGGCAAACAGCTCTTAATGACTTTTGGGCTGCCATGAACGTCTCTTACAGAGGTCTTCACCACAAGACGTTTCAAAAGCACTTGAAAGAGACGTTCAGGAAGCCAGAGGCCAGCGCTTTGGAGAAGTTTTATGCTGGTTCTGCCACAGCAGTGATCAAAACATATAAAGAAATGGACCCCAGCTTCTGCAAGGACATCACCGTAGTGTACGATGGCACATGGCATAAGCGGGGTCACACATCACACATCGGAGGGGGATCGGTAATTGACTTTTTTACATGTCTCATCTTGGATGCTGTAGTTCTTTCAAACCACTGCCTTGGATGCCAAACAGGGCCCAAACCTGGAGATGCAGCATACGAAAGCTGGCAGAAGCACCACATTTGCCAGAAAAACACAGTCGCAAAATCGGGAAGCATGGAAGTGGAGGCATGCTTGACTCTCTTTGGGCGGTCTGTATCCAAGCATGGCCTGCGGTACACCACTCTTGTGTCCGATGGAGACAGCCGTACCTTCGCTGCCCTCACAGAAGAGAATGTGTACGGGCTAGTGCCAATTGTAAAAGAAGAGTGTCTGAACCATGTTCAGAAAAGGATTGGAAGTGCTCTTCGAAACATT